ATTTAATATTAATAAATTAATTAATATAATTAAATTTTTTATTAATATATATAAATAATTTAAAACACTAATTTATTTAAAAATATGTATCAACATGTATATCATGCTACATAAATATTTCACATAAATTTACTGCAATTTTTTGCTCTTAGTCGACTTTTAATATAAAAGTCGACTCTTTTCCCAAAAGAGTAGGCTCTTAAAAAAACATAGTCGATTATACCCACTATTGGGAACTTTCCTTGCTCTTTGGAATTTGGTAGTCGAATGTTGCTCCTTCACAATCGAATCTTTGAGGCATTAGAGTCGACTCTTCATGTATAGAGTCGACTTTAACCTGCAGCAGGATGCTCAAACCTCTCTGGAATTTGGAAGTCGAATGTTGATCCTATATAGTCGACTCTTGGAGGGTTTAGAGTCGACTCTTCACTCATAGAGTCGATTCTAACCTGCAGCAGGATGCTCGAACCTCTCTGGAATTTGGGAGTCGAATGTTGATCCTATATAGTCGACTCTTAGAGGCTTTAGAGTCGACTCTTCATTCATAGAGTCGACTCTAACCTGCAGCAGGATGCTTGAACCTCTCTGGAATTTGGGAGTCGAATGTTGATCCTATATAGTCGACTCTTGGAGGATTTAGAGTCGACTCTCCATTCATAAAGTCAACTCTAGCATGCAGCAGGATTCTCGAACCTCTCTGGAATTTGGGAGTCGAATGTTGCTTTTATATAGTCGACTCTTGGAAGAGTCAGAGTCAACTCTTTATGTACAGAGTCGACTCTAACCTGCATCACATGCTCGATGGAATTTGGGAGTCCAATGTTGCTCTTATACAGTCGACTCTTTGAGGGTTGATAGTCGATTCTTGATGTATATAGTCAACTCTAACATGCCTGAAATGCTCAAACCTCTCTAACATACCCCAACTTTTGTACTTGTTCTTACTACACTTTGATTTTACCATATCACATTACATACAATGTCATTTATCATATCACATATTTTCAATTCATCACATTATTATAAATATGTACCACTTATATAATTCCCTCATCTCATAATCATAAATTAAAATATAAATATATAAGTACCACGTGCAACATTTAACATGACTATTTACATATTCTAAACTTGCAAGTCATAATAATACAGTTAATATTACCACAAACCATTCAATTCCAACTAACATATACACACATGTCCTAACAAGTTTAAATCACAAACCCAGAAACTAAAAGTATTTTCCTCAAGTATCAAGAACATGCCAAGTTTTGCGTTCGCAATCTCATGCACACTGATCATTCCGACCCAAATGGACCTTGGTAATCTACATCAAATCTCAGCTGGTAACCATAATCATCTTGTGGGGGATTGGCTGAAGATGTACCTGGAGATCCTAATTGTCTCCCCATTTGGCCCATGGGTAATGTAGGTTCTATTGGCATTTGCATTGGCATTGCATGAGGAAATGATGGCCCACTAGCATGAAACGATGGCCCAACAGTAGGGAATGATGCCCCTACAGGAGGACATGCTTGCCCAGTGTGAGGCAATGATGGGGTAGCAGTAGGTGGGCGCATCCCGTAGGCACTAAAAGCAACAAATTGCTGCGATAGAGATGCCTACATCCTCCCCATGTCTTCCAGCATCCGTTGCATTGCTTCTCATTGCTTCTCATTGCTCTTTGACTTGCCCTATTTCATCTCACATCATTTGCATTGCCTCTCTATCTTTGGCTTGTTTTTCAGCCATGTCTAATATCATTAGGCTCACATATGAAGTCCCCGTTGGTTGTCGTTTTCTATATGTAAACCCAAGTTCCTTTGGGTTTACCTGTGAACCAATTCCTGGCATGAAATTGCTATGGCATCCCCCAACAACAGTTGCCCAAGCGTCATTGTCCCGAGGTGGCCATGATGCTGAGTCCGAGCCATATGTAGCAGAGCACTCACTGATGTATGTATCCTTCAAAAGTAATGCAAAAAAAAACAACATATAACTGCAAATTTTTAAATGTTGTATACATATAACAATGTTGAAAATGTAATCATTATTATTTACGAACAAGTGATAACAAAGTAACAATCATCGAGAGACAATCAATACCCAAACAAAATTGTTTCATTAACACCTACACATACTAATACTTACACATGCAAAATTTTTGTTATATCCTATTTAACACCACTAACTTTATTAATAAACCTTTTATTCACTTTTTCTAACAATCTATGTCACTCATAGAAATCTTTTTATTTAGTATGTTCGCACTTACATGCCGAGTCTTATGTTTGTCGCCACACCATGGAGCTTCTTGTCCTTGGGGGACACCTTTTCGTAAAGTACGTGTTTCCTTGTATAGCTCTTGGTGTGCTAGCCTTAACCCCCCAGCAGCTTTGGTCTGTGTGTCACAACCATATTATACGAGGTTAGCAAGTTATTATATTTATAGTTAATTGATAATTATACAAAAATAATATAACTTGTGTTGATTATCTATTATATATATACACTTTTCTTTCTTTTCTTACTTACCATTCATTCTTCATGTACATCAACACTTACTGATCCTGTAGTGTGTGTAACTCGTTCCCCAAATGCTTTGTTTTTCTTCCCCCTCTCACTAAGATTGTGAAACTTAGCAGAATCCCAATAAGAGCATAATGCAGGCCATAGGTGCTCAGGCACCCATACTGGCCTATACTCACCATTTGCACGCCACTTATCCCGTTCATCCTTCATATTATCGCCCCATCATTTCTTCATTGATCTTAAGAACACCTTTCGGACTGCATCCTCATCCTCTAAACCCCATTGATAATGTGTCTATCACCACATACAAATAAATTATTTCCATGTAACTTAATAACATATAGTATAATAACACATGTATATATATCATATCCCATTTTTTCGTATATACTTAACTACCATTTTGTCCATACGAAAAAGCTAATTGAAACGAATCAAAACTTTTAATACTTTATTGACAAACTCAGAATTATAAGGATTTTTGTGTCATATGATGACTATTATGATACCATATTGTTTTACCAAAGTCATATGATCACTGTTTTCTTTTCTTCTTCTTTTTTTTTTTTAACTGTATGCAGTATTCATACCATTAAATTACCTATATCGACCAATACACCAACAATAGTGAGTTATACTTTATCATATATGTTGTTACGTTATCATTAATCATACGCTATATATTTGATGGAAGGATTATGTATGAAATGATAATTACTCTTACCTTAAACAACTCCCACACTTGCAGCCTTTTCTATTCTGGGAACAAGTCATAGATGAAGTAATCACCATCATAAACCCTCTTCCATAAGGTTGTAATCAATCTGGGTACTTCAACATCCAAGAAGGTGCCTTTATGCGAAATTTGTATCAATGGTCTTTCATCTGCTCTTCTTGCAGCCCTTTTTGGTTTGTTTGGACCTCTTCCCTTCTGCTTCCCATTATGGGATGAGGCTGCTGCATGAATGGAACCTTGTGGACTAATAGACCGAGTATGCCCCGCGTCCAATACTGGGGTAACGTCACATGCAAGATCTACAGAGTTGTGACGTCCTCGTCTCCCTAATGTGCTGCGACTACGTGCGGAGTTGATGGGCCCACCCGACATCCTGCAAAACATATGGTCACATAAAGTATGTTAGTACTAATGTCACCAAATAAATATATGTGCAGTTTATAAATTTTCTATTTATAAACATTTACAACATCATAAATAATGGCAATGAAACAAAATTTGAAGAAATAGTCACTAATCATTCATAAGTATATTTGTTAATTACGAAGTTTTATACACAAAATTTATATTTTTAAATGACAACCAAATTTTAAAACTATTATTGTACATGAACTTCAATTATTTAACGACTATTCAGTCTCACTACTATCGTCACCAACATCGCCTCTTATTTCATATCCTTCATTTCCTTCACTCAGATTTTCATCAACATCATCATTTGCATCTCCATTTAAGTCAACCATTGTTGCTCCTTCTGCATGTAGATTCACGCATTCTGTAGATGCCAAATTGGAACTATGCTGATTCGATTGTGTTGATGCTGGCTCCTCATCTTGGAATATTTCTTCCATATCAAGTGAGGTTGAAGAAGCGTCGACCAAATGTCTAGCATGTATTTTGCATGCGGCGAACCATCCATGAGTTGCTCGATTTTCTGATGGGTAACTACTGTAATACACTTGCATTGCTTGACACGCCAAGCAAAATGGCTCACCAGTCGACAATTGATATCGTGGGTTGACCTCAACAATGTTGTAAACTTGGTTAATGCGTGTTCCCCTATGTGTATCGAACCAATCACAATTGAATAAGACAATTGTCTGCATTTGCGCATGTGGTCCATAATACAATAGTTCAATGACTTCATTAAGGATGCCACAATAATCAGTCTCAACATCATCAGATATGGTTGTTCCTTTCACACATACACCACAATTATATGTTTGCCTTTTACTACTGGCTTTTTGGGTCATAAATCTAAAACCATTGACATAATAACCTCTGTACACATTCACTGTCCATGATGGGCCCAGTGCAAGGTATTGCAAAACCTCATTCCCTTCATGATAGCCATTTAACACCTAGCAAATTTATATGTACGTGTTATTAGTCAAATTTATAATATTTTCGTTAAAAACTCAATTAGTTAATATATTGTATATGACTATATATGCATATGTATATAATAATATTTGAAACAACATGACACGATGAAAAATATTGTTTACCCTATCTTTGAACCACATAACAAAACTTCTGGTGCGTGCTTCGTGTGGAGTAAAAGGGGTCATATATACACCAACTTCTCGATCAAAGATGCTGAAATATGGAAACAATTATGTGTGACCAAAAAATGGAATGTTGAACTTTCCTGCTATGATTCAGCAAGCTTACTCTAAAAATAATAAAAAGGAGTTTAGTTTGTCATATCTCACCTAAGAAGCGCATCAACTTCCCTATAGTTTAGTAGGACATAAAATTCAGCTGCCTTCATCTTTTAAGTGGTTAGACAGCGTGTCTGTGAATGTGAACCCATTGGATGACCAAGGCACGCAAATATCAAGAATTCTGTGTTCCTATAAAATGGAACTGTTGCAAAGTTCCTTGGGGGCTTACTCCAACTTGTCTCAAGATCCGCACCAAAATATCGTGAGCAAAATCCTGTTATTTCATTGAGAATGTATACTTCGACAATAGATGCCTCAACATGATTCTTGTTCCCTATTGTTTGTTTAAGTTTGTGTATTTGTCTGTAAAATTTGAAATTAGATATGAGCATAACAAATTATTATAGATTTTGTTATACTTGAAACTAGTGCAAACTTGTTTCCATTACCATTCAAATGGGTACATCCATCGAAATTGTATTGGCCCACCAATTCGCGCCTCGAAAGGAAGATGGATTGTTAGGTGCTCCATACAATCAAAAAATGACGGTGAAAAGATTCTTTCTAACTTACATATTATTTCAACTATCTTCGTTTCCCAAACTGCCATGTCTTTTATATTGACATTTTGGGAACATAGTGCACGGAAGAAATTACTTACTTCTGTTAATGGACCCCATATAGAATCCGGTAACAAGCCATGGAAAGCAATTGGAATGAGGCATTGCATGAATATGTGGCAATCGTGACTCTTCAATCCAACTAAGCGTAGCTTAGCTAAGTTCACACAATGTGCGATATTAGATGCAAACCCATCTGGAAATCGCACATATTTGAGCCATGTACATAGACATCTTTTTTTATCCGTGTCTAGTGCATAACTTGCATTTGGCATGCAAAGTGACCCAGAACTATCATAGTACAAGTGTAGTTCTTCCCTATCACAGTACAATGGTAAGTCCATTCTTGACTTAACATTGTCTTTTGAGGACAAGTCATTCATGATTGTGTGTATGATGTTATCAAAAAAATTCTTCTCACAGTGCATGACATCAAGATTGTGTCTAATCAAGTTATCCCCCCAGTATGAGAGTTCCCAGAAAATACTCCATTTGACCCAATTGTGTGTTTCACCAAACCCGGGAATAGTTTGGTTTACTGATGGATTTCCAAATAAAACATCAGGTAGTGCAACAACTTGAAGTCGATCGAAATGACCATCTAATCGTGGAGGAGGGGGCCCAAATTCTAAGTGGCCCTTAAGGAATTGAGATGCATCCATTCTGTACGAGTGTGATGCAGGAAGAAACTGCCGATGACAGTCAAAGAAGCAGATCTTGCGACCATGCTGCAAGTAAAAAGCACGAGTCATTTCCATGCAATATGGACAAGATAGACGACCATGCATGCTCCATCCAGAAACCATACCATAGTTGGGGAAATCTGTTATGGTCCACATAAGCATGGCTCGCATTGTGAAGTTCTGTTTATGGAAGCTGTCAAATGTTTCTACCCCCGACGACCATAACCATTTCAGGTCATCAATAAGTGGATGGAGGAAAACATCAATGTTTTTTCCTGGACTTTTTGGTCCAGAAATAACGAGTATAAGGAATGTAAACTTAGGTCGCATGCACATCTCAGGAGGAAGATTGTAAACAACAATGAAAACAGGCCAACAGGAATATGACCTCGAAGAATGACCCCATAGGTTAAACCCATCTGTTGCATGACCAAGATGGACATTTCGCAGATCGGATGCAAATGAAGGATGAACGGCATCAAAGTGCTTCCAAGCAGTAGACTGAGCAGGATGAATGAGGATCTCCGAGTCAACACGACATTTAAGGTGCCATGTCATATGCTCAGCAGTTTTACGAGACATGTACAGCCTCTGTAGGCGTGGAATAATAGGTAGATACCACAAAGAATTCCTGGGCCTACCTTTTTTTTGAGTTTGAATCGAGTTGCATTTTTTATACCTAGGTTCACCACAAACTGGACAAGCAGTAAGTGACTTTGCCTCATCACCATAATACGGAAAGCAGTTGTTGACACATGCATCAATTTTGACATAGTCTAAACCTAAGTTTTTCATGAATTTTTTTGCTTCATAAAAATTTGACGGTACTTTTTGCTGATCTTCTGGACACAATTGCCTACAGCCCTGAATGATGTCATTGTAACCAACACCAGTTATGTTGTTTTTGGCTTTGCAATGCAGCATATATGATAACCATCCAAGCAATGTTTGATTATTAGATGATGGTCCAAGTGGGATGGTTGAAGCACGCAACAAGTCATAAAAAGATTGTGCATGTCTATTTGGCGCATCCCCAACATTTTCAGTTGCGAACTCTATTTCATTTCTAGGGTGATCGTTTTCAGATGGACAAAATGCATCATAAACCATGTGATGGATATCATCCTCAGCATTAACATGTTCCTCAATATTAACATGTTCCTGAATATTACTTGAGGATGCCACATCACTTGTAGCTAACCATGGATCAACATTGTTACTTAAAGTTTCACCATGTGCCCACCACACAGAATATGCATCCATGAAACCATATCTCAACAGATGGTCTGTTACAGTTGCCTTGTTGTGGTGAGGTAAATTTCCACATTTACTACAGGGGCAACGAATTTCGTCATTCAAGTGAACACCAGGACAACTATAGATGAAATCAAAAAATTGTTGTAATCCATTAAAGAATTCGGCATCACAATCTCCACGAGGACCTCGTCGTCTATACATCCAACGACGATCATCTGTCATCTTTAACTAAATAATACAATTAAGATTTTAAGTAAATTAAATCATTATTAAGGTAATAATAGTAATTATATAAGTATGTGTAATAGACAAAGAAATGGGAAAACATAGCAATTAGTGCATAAAGGTTGCAAACACTATTTTCAAACCGGACTGGCTCGGTCGGTTCAATCAATTGAACCAAAACTGGTTCTATAAATGGGTCAGTTTATGATATTTATCCGTTGGAGGTCAAACCTGGTCAAAACCCGATCAAACCAGTGAAACCCATTCAACTCGGTCAACTCAATGAACCGAATCAAAACATTTTTTACATTTTCAATTTATTCTTTGTTTTTCTTAAATTTTTATTTTCTATGTTGGTAATTAATAAATAATATAATAATTAAATTGTAAAATCTATTTAAAATCAAATCACAATTAAGGAATGAAATTTTTTAAATTTATTTAAATGCAATTTGAAATTAAATTACTATTTCAAATTATAAAGTGATTGTAATTTAAAATAAATCAATTTGATTT